GTTAATAACACTGATGCCTCCATGTTATGGCATTACAAACTAGGTCATGTATCTTCTTACATTTTGAATCATATGGCAATAAAATTTCCTTTCATTTCTGCTAAACATGTTTCCCCTTGTGATGCTTGTCACTTTGCTAAACAACATAAACTATCCTACCCTATCAGTAACACAACAACTACTTCTATTTTTCAACTCATTCATGTTGACATTTGGGGCCCTTATTCTATCCCTTCTATCCATGGTCATAGATACTTCCTCACCATTGTTGAGGACTTTTCTCGTTTCAGATGGGCTCTCCTTTTAAAATCTAAGGCTGATGCTCGACCCTCCTTACAAAATTTCATTACTATGATTCAAACTCAATTTCACATAACTGTCCAATGCATTCGATCAGATAATGGGGCTGAATTTTCTATGTCCTCATTTTATCAAAAGAAAGGCATCCTTCATCAAAAGAGTTGTGTAGAAAACCCCCAACAAAATGGTGTTGTTGAGAGAAAACACCAACATATTTTAAATGTGGCACGAGCCATTATGTTTCAGTCAAAATTGCCATTACCTTTTTGGTCTTTTGCCGTTACATATGCCATCCATATCATCAACCGAACAACCACACCTCTTCTCAAATACCAAACTCCATATGAAATTCTGTATAAACAGCCTCCTACCCTATTGCATCTTAAAGTTTTTGGTTGCTTGTCTTATGCATCTACTCTTTTGTCTCACAGAACTAAATTTTCATCAAGGGCTCACAAATCAGTATTTTTGGGCTACCAAGAGGGTGTCAAAGGATACATCCTTCTTGACATTCATACCAGAAAAATATTTTTGTCACCAAATGTCATATTTTTTGAAACTGGGTTTCCTTTCACTGTTTTACACCATGCTTCTGTCCCTCCCAATTCTCATGCTTCCCCCAATACACATATAGATGACTTTGATCATTCTTCCTACCTACACCAACAGTAATGCATCCACCAAACCCCATTCCCCACACTGACATGCCCCTAGCCAATCCCAATACTCAATCTACCCCATCAGTACCCACTTTACCATCACTTCCTGTTACTGACCAACTCATACAGCCTATGCCTATTCCCACACGCAAATCCACTAGATTGAGGAGACAACCATCATACTTGCAAGATTATCACTGTACTCTATCAGCTACATCATCTATTCCATCTCACTCAGGTAATTCTTCTTCCACTCGTCTTTATCCTATATCTTCTGTTTTGACTTATGATAACTGTTCCCATTCCTATAAAACCTTTTGCTGTAACATCTCCACACACAAAGAACCAAATACTTATCTACAGGCTTCCAAACACGATTGCTGGCGCCAAGCAATGCAGGCTGAAATTTCAGCTCTTGAACTCAATAAAACTTGGACTCTTGTAGCCCTTCCTCCTGGCAAAAACATCATTGGGTGTAAGTGGGTCTACAAGATCAAGTTTCATGTTGATGGTTCCATTGAGAGATACAAGGCACGCCTTGTAGCCAAAGGGTATACCCAAACTGAAGGATTGGATTATCTTGATACATTCAGTCCAGTGGCAAGCTCACTACTGTCTGATTGCTCATCTCTCTTGCTTCCTCCAAACAGTGGTTTTTAGAGCAACTCGATGTCAATAATGCCTTCCTCCATGGTGACCTACATGAGGAGGTATACATGGCTTTACCACCTGGATCACACTCTTCCAATTCTTCACTTGTTTGCAGGCTCCACAAGTCTCTCTACGGGCTCAAGCAAGCAAGTAGACAGTGGTACTCTAAACTGTCCACTGCTTTGCTGTCTCTTGGATATTCCCAGTCTCAAGTTGATTTCTCCCTTTTTACCAGAAAGCAGGATCACTCATTTACAGCACTCCTTGTATACGTTGATGACATCATACTTGCTGGTGACAGTATGGATGAAATTCACAGAGTCAAGTCTTTTCTGGATGCCACATTCAAGATCAAAGACTTAGGTAAACTCAGATTTTTCCTGGGCCTTGAGGTCTCTCGTGCTTCATCAGGAATCATCCTCAATCAACGTAAATACACTCTGGAGCTACTCTCTGACTCTGGTCTATTAGCTTGCAAGGACGCTAACACTCCAATGGATTCCTCTTTGCGTCTTCGTCGTGATCTTGGTGAGCCTCTACCTGATGCTTCTCTGTATCGCAGACTCATTGGACGTTTGTTGTACCTCACCACCACCCGTCCAGATATAAGCTTCAGTGTCCATCAGTTAAGTCAGTATATGTCTGCTCCAACCACCATTCATCTTGAGGCTGCTCATCGTGTCCTGCGGTATCTCAAAGCCTCTCCTGCCCAAGGGTTATTCTTTCCTGCTAACTCCTCTCTACAGCTCAGTGGCTTTGCTGATGCCGATTGGGCTTATTGCCCTGACACGCGAAGGTCAGTGACTGGACTTTGCATCTTCCTTGGTTCTTCTCTTATTTCCTAGAGATCAAAGAAACAAACTACTATCTCTGGGTCATCCACTGAAGCTGAATATCGTGCTTTGGCTGCCATTACTTGTGAACTACAATGGTTATCCTATCTTCTTCAAGATTTTTGCATCCCGCGGGAGAAACCAATTCCGGTTTTCTGTGACAATCGTTCGGCTATTTACCTTTCTCACAATCCAGTTTTTCACGAACAATCCAAGCACATCGAGCTTGATTGTCACATCACTCGGGAGAAGATTCAATCAGGTCTCTTACATCTTCTTCCTATCTCCACTCCTGACCAGACAGCGAACATCTTCACCAAAGCTTTGTCACCTTCATCCTTCACTGCTCTTCATGACAAACTTGGTCTTCGTGAGGTTCATACCCCAGCCCAAGCTTGTGGGGGGGGGGGGGGGTGTTACCAGACTAAAATCTAAAATGATTTGGGCTTGTTGAGGCCCAACCCATTAACTTAACTAGTCAATTAGTCCATTTTCTGTTAGCTAGTTAGTTAGGTTTATGTTAGTTTTGGTTAGCTGGTAGTTCCTAGAAACATTTTGTATATAAGGATTCATCATCTTTGCTTTCATAATTAATTCAAGAAATATTCTTTAATCCTTACTTCAACTATCTTCTTTCTCTCGATTCTGCAACACTTGCATGGTGATGCTACTGTAGTAATACGTCGTTTTGAGTTGAAAAATTAAAAAATGAGTAAACACCACTTTTAGTCCCTGGCAATATCTACGAAGTCCTTTTCAGTCCCTGGCAATAAAAAAGGACCAAATTGGTCCCTGAAAGTACAAGAAAAGGGCCACTCTACATATTTGAGAGTTGACATAAGGACTAACATGGCCCTTTTCTTGTAATTTCAGGGACCAATTTGGTCCTTTTTTATTGCCAGGAACTAAAAAGGACTTCGTAGATATTGACAGGGACTAAAAAAGGTATTTACTCTTAAAAAATTATAATCAAGTTATAATTATAAAAATACCTTAATTTCTGTCTTAAAACGATATCGTTTTGGGCTCAATATAGATAAATCATCTACATTGACCGTAAAAAAAGTCAACACTTATTATAAATACTAAAAGTTTGGAACTATGGTAACACCCCCAATGTGCATTTTGATTTGCCACCGACATCCTAAAACCAGATTTTGGTGAGTACATTCTCAATTAGGTTAATGCATTCAAGATTTTTTTTATATAAATTAAAAATTGCTCTAAATAATTTTTCTGTAAGAGACAAAAAGCTATTTAGTTTTATTTTTTATTTGGCTTTTTCACTTAAAATGAAGCCATTTGAACCGCAAATGAAACATAAATTTCACCGTTTGCGTTTTTAGTAAAAAAAAATTGTCTTGCAAAAACATCAACTAGCAGTGCCACCTAAAATTTAACAGTTCATATGGAGGAATATATACAGTTATTAATTAATATTACTTTGTTAATTTCAAATTCATTTAAAACACTTTTAACAATAGGAAAAAAAATATACATTTTGCTTTTATGGATCATAAACTGTGAAAAAAGCGTTTTTTGGTGCATAGAATTTAAAATAAGCAACCTCTACATTGAGGAAAGATTAACACAAAGTGACTGTTTTTTTTTTTACTTTAACCTAACAAAAATGGAGAAATTTTTATCATCCAACACAAAATCAAAAAGGAATTCAAGTTTAACAACTTTTATATATATTTTGAATATTTTATGATAAAATTGAGGAAATTTTTCACTTTAAATTTTTAAGAGTGACCGGAATATTGTTGACCGACCGAAAACTAAACTATCAAGTGTCAATCACTCCGATTTAGTCAAGAAATCAGCTATGCAATTCAATTAATTTCAGACCGGTGAATAAGCTATAAATAGGGTCACGCTCAAATGTGTGATATAATATTTTTATTATTATATTTATTACATATTTCTGTATAAACTCAGGCAGTGAACCTATTAACCAATACTCTCAATCTAAATAACAAGCTATACTGATTTGTCTGAATTTAATAACACAAAATCTAAATAATAAAAAAATTAATAATAAGTTAATTTCATATCACATCACAAATTTGAGAATATATATATATATATATATATATATATATAATATGAAATGAAATTCATTTAAGTTTCATTCAATTTCCCCTTATTTTAAACAAGAAAAATACTAACAATACATTCTTTAAATACTTTCTTTATAATATTCTTTATCAATAAATTAAGAAAAAGATTATATTTATTACAATTTAAAATTTATTATTCTTATTATCTGATTGGTTGTCATTAATCAATTTAAAATCAAGAACAATTAATTTTTTTATTTTTTAAATCGCTATTTTAAATTGATTCAACAATAATCAATTAGTTAATTAGGTCTATTTTAAAACCATCTTAACAATAATAATTCATAATTCATGTTATGCCTTCTAATTTTGGTTATGGTTTATATCAATATCACACATCCTTAAAAAGATTAAAAAAAAAAAATAGAATAAAGAAGTAATGTGAAATTGATTGTGACACCATCTATCAACAAAAGCAGCTTAGCGCGTATTCCTGCTGTCATCTTAGGATTGTGTCTATCTGTCTGTCATCTCTTCACGTTTTCTTAATTTGTTTACTTCTAATGTTTAGTTGTTGAACTCAAATACCGCTCAATTTTCTTTACTTTTTTTTTAGTATTATTTTTTTATTTTCTTTTATTTCTTAGTATTAAAAGCTTCAGATCAAAAAAAGAAAAACTCATTGTGTTTTGGAGTTAAGAAAGAAGAAAGAGCATCATCATCATCATCATCAGTTAAAGTTGTTGCAGCAACTGGATCTACCCTTTGGTTTCTGTTATGGCTTTTTCTTTCAATCAAAGACTTTACCTTTGTTCTTCACTTCTCCTAATCATGGTTCTCTCTGTTTCTTCTTCACCTTCCACTTTTCTTTCTGGTAAGTTTTTTTTTTTTTTTTTAAGTTCTCAGCTTCTTTTGAATTTGACTTTAGAGTTTGTGTTTTGTCGAATTTCACAATTTGAGCAAAGAAAAATCCGTTTTTTTTATCTGGGGTTTTTAATTGCAGAGACCATTTTCGATTCTCAGGCGCATACGGGTCGGAATCTTCTTCAGGCTATGAAAGGTTTATAATTTGTTCAACATTTTATCTCTCTCTTTTTTTTTTCTTTTTTTTTTTCTGCTTATGCTTTTGGATCTACCCACATATCAGTTTTTTTTTTTTCTCTAATATATATTATTATGTTCAAGTTATTTTTTAGTTTATTTAAATGAACCTATATGTATATGTTACGTGGGTAACAAAAGTATATCAAATCTATGTATGTAATGCTGTATTTTCATTGGTCGGATTTTTTTATTATTATTATTATTATTATTATTTGTGGAAATGGATTTTCTGTTTATACCGTTTATTTAATTATTTATTTATTTTGGTGATTGAAGAAAAAAAGTTCATTAACAGTAAGTAAAGAAGATGGGGAAACACTGATGAAAGATCTTTTCAGTTGCAAATTATGCAATTTATTCTTTTATATTAGGCTTTCAATTGCCCAGAAAAGTAAAAATAAGAGGAAGAAGCTGGGTTTGCAATGAAAACATCATTTTCCTGCAGAAAGAAAGACTAAACTAACATTGTGCTTCTCCAAAGATCTAAAGTGGCATCAAGATGGTCCTTATGTCAAACTCCATTTAACATCCATTTTTTATGTTATTGTGAAGGGTTTATCGTTTCTCCATCAACCTCAGAACTACGTCGTTCTGAGGATTGAGGGAATTAATGAAGGATGTTTTCGTAAAATTTATATACTTAAAAAACAAATCAAAATTCCTAAAATATCCTTCGTTAATTCGCCCAACTCCCAAAACGACATAGTTTTGGGGTTGATGGAGATGACTTTATCTCGTATTGATGGAGAAACGATAAACCCTATTTTGAATTTGTGGAAGACTAATTTGAGGTTAAATTTTTTTAGAGGACCAAAAATGATTATTTAGTCCAGAAAGGAATAAGCTATCTACTTATATTCACATACATACATTAGCTTTTGGAATGGGCTAATGGTGAGGTATAGCTCCAAAACTAGCAGTTTGAAGGAGTTTTGGCAGAATTTTCGTTTTTAATTATCATGGATGAACCATTACCTTTGTGCTGCTCTATACTCCTGTAGCTTTATCAAACAAAAATTATGACATGGTTAGGCATTGTTTATTAAGAACTAGCACTATAACTTTAAATGTGATTAGATCTTCATTTTCTTGGTACCATACACTAGCTAATAGCTATTGTGAAAGCTCTTGTCTACCTACACCACAAAACTATATAAAGAACTAGGCACATTCTTTTTGGATAACAGTTAAAGAACGGCAGCTATTACATTAATTCAAGGGGAAATGATTTGTCCTTTTAAAGGATGTAACTTGTGTCCGTTTAGCAATTTATAACTATGTACTAAGGATAGTACATAGTTATAATATTGAAGTTGTACTTTTTTCTCTCTCTTTAGACACTGTTTGTTGGCATGGAAAGTGAAAAAAGTACAACTTTAATATTATAATTATGTACTATTCTTAGTACATAATTATAAATTGATAAAAGGACATAAGTTACATCCTTTAAAAGAACAAACTTTTAACCCTTAATTCAATGCTAATTATTGCTTATTTCAGTCATTAATGTTTAATAGGATGCTTGATTATACATTCATTACTTATGTAAACCTAGTCCATTACTTGTATCAGTACTTGATCTATAGTGGTTTTCTTGGTTATGCAGCACGTGGTTTTGTTGTATAATATTTGAACTGGTATATGTGTATGTATACCAAAAGAGAATAGTTTGTAATATCAACTTGATCAAATGCACAAATCAAGTGACTGTAATGTTTCTTTTTCGTGTCATATTAGGAATTCAAGATGTTGTTTATAGTTATGGTTACCACTTCTGTCTTGGTTTGTTTGTAAGAGGGGTGCTGTGATCACCACTTGATGCTACAGGAGCATCTTCTTTCTCTTTTCACAGCTGCTTAATATATACCAAAATTTTCCCCTTGTGGGATTCACCAAGGCACATCTCAGTGGTGGTTCCTCCCTTGAACCCCAAAAAGGAATTATTAAACACACACATACACATGCACACCAATTTTGACAAAAGCTAAGCTGTAGTCTGATGATACTGTTTGTTCACCTTGCACCTGCAGGTTGTTCTGTGAATTTTGAGTTTTTAAACTACACAATAATCACAAGCAAATGCAAAGGACCCAAGTACCCTCCCAAAGACTGTTGTGGGGCATTTAAAGAATTTGCTTGCCCTTATGCCACTCAGTTAAATGATTTAACCACTGATTGTGCCTCAACCATGTTTAGTTACATTAATCTATATGGAAGATACCCTCCTGGCCTCTTTTCTAGCGAGTGTCGCGAAGGCAAGGAAGGTCTTGCCTGTCCTGCATTGCCACCATCGGAGTCAGCCAAAGATACTACCGGAAATAATCAAATCGTACATTGTCCATCTCTGCTGCTGATGCTCACAGCCTGCTTCTTAATCTTGTTATTCTGATATTACAATACCCAACTTTCATTATTTTCTTGCATTATATTGATGTATAATCAGCAGGCTTTTTATGATACAGCATGTTCACTATTGTCTTTGCCGGTTGATTGTGCTAGAGCTGAGATCATTAACATATGCTTAAGATTAGTTTCTATCCTTTTGTGTTTTACTACTTAATATAGTCAACTCTGCTGTATCTGAGTGTTGTTTACATATTGTAAGTTTGCTTGGGACTTCAGACTTATATACTCTGCAAATGCATTTTATTTATAATTGGGTGAACTTATGCTATAATTAGTGATAGAATAAGCTTGTGTGAGGACCAAACAAAAAATGTTCTGTATTTTGTGTGTGAATTACATCTTGAGCCAAAACAAAAAGGGTGTCTGCCTGATATTGTATGAATGAAAATGCTTCATACCCCACTAGACAAAGATGCATGAGACTGGTTTTGCATGCAAGGAACTTGGGCTTGGAGTTGAGTTTTGTTGAGCCATTTGTTACCATTAATTAAAGGGATGCTGCTTCATTCATCCATCTTTCCTCAATGTTGCTAAAGTGGGAGGGAAATAAGAATAAACATTTATCTATGCCTAGAATATTTGCATGGGATAGGTTATTTTATCTATCTTTTTTTTCTGTTTACTTTTCCCTACCACTCTCCAACATTATTAGATCAGAATCTCAATAGGAGAGAAAAATGATAAAGGTAGTTGAGATTTTGATCTAATGGTGTTGGGGAGTAGTAGACAAAGGTATGTAGAATAACCTATTCTTATTTGCATATATATAGATATGTACCAACCACTGAACATGAATGAGTGCTTATTGTCTAATTAATATTCATGATGAAACCTATATGGTCTCTTAGCATGCAACTTATGATAGGTGGGTAACTCATAATACAAATGGGGTTGCAAATGGTAGTCCAGGATTGGTAAAGAGTATGGGCTTATTATCCAAGCATCTCTGTTATTTTAAATTAGTTTATTTTATCTTAAGATTTTATAACTAAAATGCTTAAGAAAAATAAAGTTGCCTGAAAGTATTTTATTTACTATAAAGTTATAATTCACTGAAAATAAAAATAAGATATGCACCAACTGATTGGTGAGTTGCTGAAAGAAAGAGTTGCGAAATTCATGGAATGAAATGCTCCACTTTGAGAATATAGATAGGTTTAAAAAATATGAAAATGGTTTAGTAGTCAAATCTCGATCAAAGGCTTCTAAAGGCATATTACTATGCTCTGTTTCATTTCTGAGTTAAAATATGATAATAGGTAGGATATTGTAATAACTAATTAGGATTATTACTAATCAATTTTATCGTTAGATTGATTATGTTGATCTAACGGTTATATTTATTTCTATCTCTGTGATCCAATGGTTATATTTATTTCTATCTTTGTATGGTTATGATTCTCCATATTTAATCTGAAAGTATTAAATATGAAAAATTATAACCATACAAAGGTGAAAATAAATATAAAGTATTAAATATGAGGAATTCATACTCTTAATGATAAGTAAACTCAAAGGTAGTAATAATTAAAAAAAAAACTCAATAAATTCATTTCTTATAAATCATATTTTAGGAATGAACGGCAGCTTATTCTATTTTTTCTCTTTCGTATTTTTTAAAAAATGATAAAAAGTATGACACGGTTTTTCTAAAGCACAAACAAAAGCATAATATTATCTTTTCTGATTATATTATAGTAAAGAACAACTTATTCTCGCTCCAGTCATACATGTTCCTCTCCTGTTTGTTTAAAAATAATTTAACACTTTATAAAACGTCATCCATACCAAATGGTAACATCATTCAATTTTTTGTTTAAGGATTTGTTTGTTATAATTTAACTATGAATTAATGCTGTGCCATGTGATGCGACAATGTGACACATCATTCATCAACAAATTCATGTGAAAATATTCTTAGTAAGGACATGTGACCATCCTGTTGAGGCATAGATAGCATTTACTTTTTATTCCATTGTACAAAACATGTATTACACTATTGATTATAATGAATTATTTTTCTTATGTTGCATAAGATAAAAACAACTTTCTTACACTCACAAAAGGAAAATAGAGGAGAGAGAATAGAAAAAAGAGGAAAAATTTAAAGTGAATCCCATGTAAAAATTATGTGTGTAGAAAGATTGTTTTATTTTGTGCAACATAAGAAAAACAATCCCCTTGATTATAACAGTGAACAATTACTTGCATTTGTGTGGGCGTGGCTATGAAGAAAAGATGCTTGGTTCAGTTGCAGAACCATTGCATAAGCATTGTTTCTAGTTCATCAGACGTTGTCATCCTCAACTATGGACAAAGTTTAATTATCAAATTCAAGGTGAAAAATTGTAAAGTAGGTCCTCTTACAAGTTTTCTGACATTCTTAAAGGGTGAATCTCACTTCAATATAGGATTGAAAGGTACAAGTCTACCAACAAAGAAAAATGAACAGCATTAGTTTAGAACTATGAAGTGGAAATGGCATATACACTTCATCGAAATGACTAAAGACCTTGGTAGTCAAGCATCAAACCAGAGAATTCATTCCAATCTCATTGCAATTTTTTGGTACATTAAATCCCTCAACTTATGGATCTGTTCTTCAATTATATTAACAATTTCTTCACACTTTTTACATAATAAGACAAACATAATGCTTCTTCTTTTACATTATTCTTAACAAGCCAAATGTTTATTATAGGCTTCTTCTCAACAAAGAAATCATAATACTTATAAATACAATAACTGTAGCTAAAATTCACTCCTATTGTTCCTGCCCCTTTTGAGTAGGGTGCATAATAATTTACATTATTGAGAAAAATAAATTTTGGATCAAAATATTCACCATATGAGGTTGAGTCTAGGCTTCTGACGGAACTGCTTTTTTGTCACACACCAAGTACCAGGAAAGGTGCTCAACTGTACACAATTCAGAAACAGTCAGCCTTGCCTCACAAACCATGTATAGTGAAACCAAAAATGAAATGAATCCATAAGACAACTCAGTTCTGCAAGAAGGTTTAATAATTTGAGGCTACATTAACACTCAGCCTTACCCTTGCATATTTGCTAAGGGACTGTTTCCGAATTCAAACCCCATGACGTTTCAATTAGCTAAATTTGAATATTTATCATGGAAGTAGTAGAGAACTCACATTGCCAATAATCTTTGCTCCAAACCATGGGGTATCAGCACCGTATGGAGGGGGTATGACTCTAATTCCATTGGACACATATGGAGGAAGTAAGGCATGGAGTTCCTTCTCTATCCTTTCTGCACAAAAATGGTCCCAAAAGTAGTAGAATTAGAACTCTATTACAAATAGCTCATCACCCCAGGTGTTTTCTGTACTTTAGTTCCATTCCATCTTTCTGCTATGTTGCAAAGATATAAAAAGGTCATGTCTCAAATAAAAAAGGGTATTCACCTGCCAACCCTGGTAAACATGCAGATCCCCCTGATAAAACTATAGTCTTGTACCAATCATTGTCGCCTGCTAATTCTGCAGAATGGCAATGGTCCATACAAAGAGCTATGGCCTGGTGCAAACCCATGGCTTGCCTATACCAAGAAGTGTAACATAAGCTTAAACTACCAACAGAAAATATAAAAAACAAACTAACAAGGAGAAAAGAATTCTACATGGTAAGTTGGTAACCACAAATCATGTCCATTCAACACGAGACAAAGATCTTCATGAGTTTAGGTATATAGTTTTCCTCCCATTCCTCTCTTTAATATCTTAGATACATACCTTCTTTTCTGTTGTCACTCCTAGACAGGTGGATTCACTCATTTTTCCTTTTTCAAATTACATAATGTTTCTTACGTTAAGGACTAAAAGAAGAAAGAGAAGATCAATTAGGATAAGTGGACATAAACCGTGATAATAACTAACATGGATTTTATGCAGTTCAACTTAAAACTACACAACACTATTAAATGCAACTTAAAAACAGTGACGATTTTAGAACTAGACAGAACGGAATTTTACTGAACATAAACCAATGATTTGAATTTGTTCCAGTAAAATCTTATAGAAGTTGCAATGCAATGCATGCTTTAAAGATGAGGAAAAGAAATGCCCCATGAAGAAATATTTTTTATGTGAATAATTTTATTGCAACTAAGTTAAATACCTCCAGAAGAATACAATGTCAAAAATTATATAATTTAAATTTGGTAACAACCATCAAATACAAAAATAGTTTTGAAGTTTTTTTATCAAACATGGTATCAATTATTGAAAAAGATTAGAAAATGGAAAACTAAAACAAAATTGAAATGAAAAGAATAGGTATAGTCAATTTTAATAAGAGATATCAATCAAAGAAGACTTTATCATAGGTTAGATTATGCCCACTATTTGCGCTTAACAAAACCTCCTCACTTGTGTGTTTGAGATTCAAACTACCTGTTAAAAAAGAATTGTTTTGTTATTATGATTAACAAATTAACTAATAGAATGCAAAGGGGGAACTCCCAAGTTCATTGGGATCCAAGAGTAAAGAAAGAAAAACGAATTTGATTTTCAACTTAAATGCACTTTTGCAATCTGTCCATCCAATTAGGTGATGATATGACATGCTAATTTATGGGCCAGGCCGCAGTCATGGTAGACTACTTACATAATTGAAGCAAATATACATAGTCAATCTGTTGTATCATATTGCAAGAAATACAAAAACTTACATTCCAGCAAGATGTGGCTTGAATAAGATCTCTGCTGTCTGAAACCTCTCTCTTGAAAGTGTAAACAATCCTTCTCCTACAGCTTCAAATGATGCTTCTGTATCTTTTGATAGCTCAGCTTCATAATCAAGAGCAACATAGCATAGCTTCTGTTGCCATACAACCGGCAAAACATCAAATAATTTGAATCATACAGAAGAACATGCATTTACTAAGTCTCTCAAAGGTCCTCGAATTAGCTACACTACATTACTAACAAGCTTGTTGCATATGATCTATATGCTAGAACTTGATGACAAGTTGACAACATTGAAATAGTAGCTATTTCATTTATTTATATTCATTATTATTTACTGTACATAGTTATATTAGTTGTATTTCACATTTGTATTACAGGTTGTACACATCTCTGTTCTTTAATAATAAATAAGGTGCTAAACACTAATGATTGACACAAAATAAGGGTTTTCTCTCTAGATCTTCTCATTTGTTACAGAGCTATTGACTAGCAGGAAAACTACTCCAAAGCCATTTAATGACCCTGTAGCATTCACAGATGCCAGACACGGACCCCATGGTCCTCTCTTTATCATGAGGCATTTGATCCCCCAGCCTTAAGGTTCCAAAAAGTGAATACTGATACATCTTTCCTTGAAGACAAAACAAGGGGCACAGCTGCTGTTATAACAGGTTTGACAAAGGATATAGCAGCTTCCAACAATGCCAAATATTTTATATTCCAAGATCTAATCCAACTTAAGAGAGCTTAGAAGAAAGCAGAACATATATGGTGACATCATTAAGAGATGGAGACTACATTTATAAGCAATGAAGGGTCACTCCTGTCCTCTTAGGTATAACATGGCACCACATACAACCTGATTGACATCAATGAGTAAAATCTCCTCACTGTAAATATTTCAATTTCAGACACATAGAAGAATATCAATACCTCTTTCAATGTGCGAACAGTGTACAAAGATTGAAAATTTATGTTGTTCATTTGCATCTTCTCCTTAAGAAATCCTGTAAGTTTCAGTGCTCCCAGTCCCACAACTTCCACACCCACCTTGCGCATTACTTTACCATTTAAAACTGTGAAAATATAATGCAGGTCAAATTCAAACCAGAAAAAAAAAAGGAAAAAAATAGAGAATAAATCATTTGCTTCTGATATACAAAGTTAAACAAACTATACATTAAAACAAAGACATGATGTTTAAGCATTGACTACAACTGAACCCCACTTAGAAACACATTGATGTACTTCATGCAAGAAATAAATTGTTAGGCATACATTAAGAATTATATTTAGACAAAGAAAGAGCAAGAGAAAAGAAAACTGTACAGCATACTTGGAACTACAGATGTGACTTGAAAACCTATATTAACAGCTATTCCAGAAGTTCGTTTCGCAGCATACAGGGCTAGAGTTGCCTACATTTTACAAAAATAGATAATAAGTAAATATGGAAATGACAAGAAATAATAGAAGCACCCTTGCATCATTGTGTAAAAGACATGCACAATGTACATTCATCTTATACACAATGATTTCAATAGTTGTAAATGCGGTCCTTTTCTCCTAGGTCAAGACTCTTAAATTGACAAAGAATAACAATGAGTTATACAATTAGGTCTTTGAAAGGTATTATTTGTGTTGATTTAGTCCCCGAAAGTTTCCACTCTAATAAATTGATCCCGAAGTTGTCAATTTGCTAACAAGTTCACCCCTTCGCGTACCAATTTGTATAGACAGAAACTTTTGGAAACCAGAGCAACACAAGTAACATCTCCCATGAACCAAATTGTATATCGACTCAATAATGATTCTACTACACTTAATCAAGTTTTTTGGCAGCACTAGCTTACAACTTCGTCAGAAAAAAAGTACATAGAAATAGACAATCAAATCCTAATTAACCAGTGGGTAAATATAGTAAAACCCTAGGTTGTCAGTAGCGGCCGGTAGCGCCGCTAAACCACTACAGTAGCGGGTAGCAGCGGCCGACCGCTACAATTGCGATGCTACGCAACGCTGGGCAGAAGGCAGCAGCGTAGCGGCAATACCGCTACCCGCTACACCGCTATACCATTAGTTCAAGTGAAGATGAAAATGAGGGAGAAGATTTGTTGAAATTTGATTGAGAATCTGGAGATGATGATGATTTTATTCATTAGTTCACTTTTTGTATTTGACTATTTGACAATTTCATTGTTCATTTGTGTTTAATTTTGGATCCTTCGTTTATGTTCCTTGTATTTGACATTGATTGTGGAATTATGTGTTTGATTTTGTGTGACTTCTTATGTTTGAGCATTTATAGTTGTGTAGTATTAGACTGTTAGTATAATATATGTGGAATTAATACTTCACCGTATCGGCAATACCGCTAGCCGCTACACCGCTATACCATTTTTGGGGTCGGCCGCTAACTGCTACTAACAAGTATGGTAAAAACAAGTTCCATGTATATTCAATGAATAGAAATAAAAGTAGTCTCCAACTCCCTACTCATCAGTAATTATGCACCTACAGTCATTTTTAACCAAGAAAATAAAATAACAGCTTCTACATTCATTCAAGCAAAATTCAACAAAATGAAGCCTGCTTTCCCAAAGACAACTTGGTCAAGAGAATCACTAGAGCCAACCTCAGGAATTTATGGGTAGATTTTATGATCAAAAGTTGTGAAGAGTGGAAAAACTTCCATTTTTCCATGGCTAAAGACACTTCCTTGCCGAGTGGCGCTTGTATTAGAAATATGTTATCTGTGTTGATATAAGATCTTCAAGAAATACTTAACAATCTTAGACCCCAACACCAATCACAGGTAAAGAGTTCTAAGACTGTTTGAGTATAGGTAGATGTGATATTTTGAGTTCTAAATAAAAAGAATAATAAGAAACAAACAACCAACAGAAAAACACATATAGTGCAGATAAGTATATGTCATTTGTGTGAATCAGAATAATATCTCAATGGTTTGAGCATATCCTCTTCTTCTTATAGTAAGTATTCTTAATCAGTAGGCAAGCTGATTAATATTCTATAATTAGTAGGTTATCTCATTAGTTTCCTGAGATAGAGCAATATGCTTAATGGCTTCCTGACTTCTATGGTTTTGTTTCCTCAATTGCTTACCCTTAATGTTATGCATGTCTTCTTATATATAGGGACTTCTGTACATTTGAAATAACATAAACAAGATATATTTTTCTACAATATAGCCTTAATTACACGAAGTGTAGATATAATTTTGTTTAGAAATGACCAGTTTCATCTTCTTCTCACTAACTTCATCACTGTTATAGTTTTCAAGTCCAATTTGTAGGCATAATCCCATCCAGATGTAAGTTCACTTTGTCTTCCCTTCAACTGACTTTGTTGTCTTCCATTATTCCAGCACTTTTCTTAATACTGACAACCCAAATCCATAATCTTCTTCATGGAACTTTTCTTCCACTTTGTTATCTAGATTATTCCAGAGAAGAACCTTAACATCAAAATTATTTTTACCAGATTACTGAAGCAGCTGGCTTTATCACCACCAAAACAAAAAAAAATTTAAAGAGAAGTTAGATTTTCAAAAAGTAAACATTTTTATAATCCTAGGCATGCTACTTTATTCTACTTGATCAAAGCCAGCCCCACAAACCCAGATAAAAGAATTACTTACTACGTTAATAACCAAGTAACAATGTTTATTTTTATGAAATGTATTACGAAACAAACATGGGTTGAAACATGTTTGCTAGGAGGGTCTTACTAACCAGACTGTCATCAGATACCATCAGCAATATTAAAGGTTACAGCATCTAGAATCTAGATGAGAATAGAATTCAGAGTTATTTTTCCACAAGAGACCAAGAGAACTTATAAGAGAATGGACACATATGTTCTCTTCGTGAAACTGGTGGAAATATAAAGATAATAGGTGCAGTAACATGTAAGCCCTTGAAAGAGATTAAAAATGTTTTAAAAAAAGAATATGGGGTTACACTCATTAAACAGGTGCATGTATCTTATAATATATTTTTATCGCTATAGTAGGTTAACTTATCCAGGGTTTTTTTTTTTTACATTAATATATCTTACCTGGTTGACAGCACAAACAGCAGGAACATTCATGTCAAAAAGGGAAGCATAAATTGCTTCTTTGAGCTGTCGTCTTGATGCTTTGGCTGATTCAGTATCTGGAATGAGGCAAAAGATGAACATTGAACAGCTGGAGAATCATATATGTAAGAAAACTATGTATTATTAACTTAAATATTTTATTTTTCATCTACATGAAGACAAGATGCATGGGAAGTGTTGTACAATGTGAAAAGGTCCAAGCAACATTTGTGACCAATAAATAGGCTTCTCCCTTCTATGCACATCATCATGACACACCATCACGATACAAAGTATGATCACACAACCACTAGATTGATAGGATTCAATTAGAACCAATGACTAAGTGGTATATTTTTGTATGTGAGAATCTAGGGAGAAACCTGATATGAACCCACCATGGTTTGGGCCCCAAAGTAGTAATTGGCCCAAATGAAAATGTTGTTGGCTGTGCTGACTCAGCAAAACAGAATGGAAGCATGGGAAAGCAAGTTAGTTGTGAGGAAAGTGCTTAAAAGGGGGAATGAGTGTTTGAGGGAATCATCTTTGGACTTAGGACTTTTGGGCACCTCTTGGGTGAATTGGGAGAGACTGGAGGCTCTCGAATTGTTCTATAACCTATCTTTACTGTCTCTCTTTTCATTACTGTTATTGTATCTTTCCATTACTATTCTTGTAATTGCTCATAGAGTTGTATTGTCTCTGTTACTGTCATCTTCTTACCGGACATTGTACCTGATTCATATTAATATACTCTCTCTGAGTTGTTTCTTCAATTGTACAGTTGGTTCCTATCAAAACCCTTTTCTGAATAATAAATAAGTGAAAAACTGCTTACATTTATGTTTAAATTATACAGAGTACAAGGGTTATGTACTGCCTGCAGTACAAAAGAACTAAAGAATAATTATGTGCTACAAAGAAAAAAAATAAATATGACAGCTAAAGCAATACTGTACATTATTTAACAATTATGTTTGGAGTTCTCAATGTAGTCCTTTTTCTTTTCTATTAGCATCACTGAAGTAAATCATAAAATGTAACTGACCATCATAGTGGCATATTGGTATAGAAACAATAACTGGTTGTTTATTCGGTTTCACCTGCATCCTGCCGAAAAAGCATCCAATATATTACACAATGCAAGCATGAATATTTCTTTAGTGACAATAATTAAATATTCATTTAAAATCACTGCCTTTTCCCATAACTTGATTGATCTGGTACTATTCATTTATATATGGTAATAGATAAGCAAGTACACAAGTGCAATGAGTGAGACCGATAAAGGTTCACTTGAAAGATTATCAAGTGTTAACTGTAACTGTTCAACCAACGAGAATCAGAATGACACAATACCTGTTATAAATAAAGGGCAGTGCAATATACCTGTTATAAATAGTAGCAAAAAAATGTCGAAGTCTAGTATACATTGGAGACTCGATGTTGCCAAATTCCTGCATATAATAAAGGAGGGAAAAGGTGCAGCATGAGTGAAAGGAAACTGAAAAAACAGAAGAGGCAATGCCTGGTATTTCCTTAAATGCTTTCTGCAGTTTAACACTCTCCTTAATTGAAGTCAAAATGAGAACAAGGAAAAATGACAATCTATGAACACAGCAAAAACTAGACATTTTAAACCAACTATTTTCATTCTAACCAAGAACAGCCTCAGTTAGTGCTAATCCAAACCAAAATCATTACCAAAAATGTTGCCGATCGCCCCGATGGACAAGCGTATTTGCTCCAACCAAATTTGCAATAGCCAGAACCGCCTGAAGAAGAAGGGAAGGGACAAAGAGAAATGTTTAAAATAAAATTATAATCATCACGAGTAACATGAATATAAGATCAAGTCTAACCATCGATGATAATAGCACCAGGAACTTGTGCTCTCTGGCCATAAATATGCTTGAACGATAACTGGGGCCTCTCACCAACAAAGGCTCTGTAATTTAGGGAACATAAAACACTTAAAATCACAAAATAGCAATCACTTGCAAGACCTATCAAATTGAGCACACAATAATAATCACTTGCACAACCGATCAAATTAAGCATACAATACCAATCACTTGCAAGACCCATCAAATTGAGCATAAAATACCAATCACTTGCAAGACACATCAAATTGAACACACAATACCAATCACTTGCACAACCCATCAAATTCAGCACACAATACCAGCCACTTGCACGACCGATCAAAGCACAAAATAACAATCACTTACATAATCCATGAAACAAAGCACTAAACAGCAATAACGTGGGTGACCCATAATAGCTAAAAACAACAAACACTTGCAAGGTCCATCAAAGCACAAAATTTCAATCACTAGCAGCACAACCGATCAAAGCACAGAACACCAAACACGAGCAAGACCCATCAAAGCACAAAATTACAATCACCAGCAATACACAAAACTCCAATTACTTGCAAACCTCATCAAAGCACAAAATTTCAAGCACTAGCAGCACAACCATCATAGCACAGAACAACATTCACTTGCAAGACCCATCAATGCACAAAATTTCAATCACTAGCAGCACAAAACACCAATCACATGCAAGATCCATCAAAGCACAAAATTCCAATCATTAGCTGCACATCCCATCAAAGTACAAAATTCCAATTACTAGCAGCACAAAACACCAATCAAAGCACAAAAAACCCATCAATCACTTGCAAGTCCCTGAACAAAGGTGGGGTTGTTTTGATTACTCACGGAAGAGGGTGGCCAGAGCTCAAGCTGGTCTCAGCAAAGAAGACAGAATCCCAAGAGGGTTCAGCCTGTGGGGTCTGAAGGAAATGAATCCAGAGACGATTATCAGACACAAGCAATCTCAGAGCCTTGCAAACAACGCTCAACTTTGCAGCTTCTTTTGGACCCAAAAGCCTCAGAATTTGCATGAATATGTCACTTGGTAATTGCTCTAACACACCCATATCCGAACATGCAAGTTCTGGTGGCGAATTGGATCTCGGTGAACACACCATTTCCCACACTTTCTTAAGCACCTTGGACATGGTGGAGAGAGAGAAAGAGAGCAAAGTTGACCAGTAGAGAGAGAGAGTGTGTGTCTGTGTGAACTGTGAAGGGTTGTTGTTTTGTTGTGCAGGAACTAGGAACATTGGAGGATGATGCTGTGATCAACACACACGTGGACATGTTCTGTCCGTTAATCAAGCATGGTTGTTTTCCAACATCACACGTTTGCTATATCATCTCTTGTTCAACTGCGTTCTTATTGGATCTATCTATCTACAGTTAAGGGTGCACATATCACGACGTTCTCGAAATCAATTTTTTTTAAATTGATTTATTCTTTTTGTTACCGGGATGAACTGGATTATTTGTTGTGCTGGGAAACTGTTGAGATATATAGTCCCACATTGATTGTATGTGCAACTAATGTAGAGTTTATAAGGCTTTCGGCACTCCTACTCTTTGAGCTAGCTTTTGAGGTGGTGTATCCCAAGGTTCTTTACATGGTATCAGAGCCTCGCCGCCCCCAGCTTTCTCGTGTGGCGTTCTTAGCACAGGTAGGCTTGGGCCTGTTGCATCGTCCATTCTTCAAGCCCAATGGGCTCTTGCGTGAGGGGACGTGTTGAGATATATAGTCCCACATTAGTTGTATGTGCAATTAATGTGGAGTTTATAAGGCCTTGAGCACTCCCACCCTTTGAGTTGGCTTTTGGGGTGGTGTATCCCAAGGTTCTTTACACAGAAAAAAAAATCAGAAAATTTCTGTTTTTTTGTTCCCAGTTACAAAATGAGAAACACTTATCTCTCTTAATCACTCTCCATCTCTACCACCACCACCACCATTATCCCAACACGACCACCGCCACCATCGTTGTCGCAGTTGTCGTACCACTAGTGCTGTCGTGACCACTCTCACCAACACGATGTCACCACCACCTCCACCCATCACTACAACCATGCCACCACCACAACTACCACCGCCACTATCATCGCAACCACTGCTGTCACCGCCACCATCGTCATCACCACGCCACTGCCACCACCACAACACCACCGCTACCATCACCACCACTGTCATTGCTGCAGCCACCACCGACACTGCCGCTGCCGCCGTCACCAACCACCACTACCATCATCACAGCCACTACCGTCGCCACCATTACACCACCGCCGCCGCCACAACCACTGTCACCTACCACTACCGCCACCGCCGCAACCACTACCACCACCTCCATGATGCTATCACAACCACCATCACCATGTCACCGCTACCGTTGTCGCCGCCACCAACCCCATATGCCACCAACCACCGTCCCCACCACCATTGTCGTAGCCACTCACCTCCACCACCACCATCCCCACCACTGCCGCCGCCGCCGCCACTATTACTACTGTCATCGTCGCCACCACCCCCGCCGCCACAATCACACCATATGGAAAGAAAGGTGATGATCCAATTTTTTTTTATATTTAATAAGAATTATTTTTTATTATATTATTTGTTATGTTATCAAACACAATTCTCATTCTCGGAATAAAAATAGAACACGTTATCAAACTGTTCCAAGGAACAAAAATATAAAAGAATTATTTCTTTTCAGAAACAGTGCTAGGAAATAAAATGGTTGTCATGCACACCAAGCTCTTTTCTCCCAAAAGTTAATTTGGATAATTTTTAACATTGAAGATTGAAGCATGTAAGTATTGTAAAATCATAAAGAAAATAATAATAATAATAATTTAATTAAAAATAATATTTTAAAATATATAATTCAATCATAAATTATCATAAATAATATTCAAAGAATATATAATTTTATAAACAATATTTCAAAATGTATAATTCAAATATTCAATAACAAACTCTGAATATATATAAATGAGTCATAAATTATTACAAATAGTATTCTGAAATATATTATTCAATTAGAAATTATTATAAACAACATTTTAAAAATATATAAATCAATCATAAATTATGATAAACAAAATAACAAGACATTCCATATAGGAATGTTTTCTTTAATTATTATTAGGTAAATTATATTTTACCATTACTACATTAATTTTATCCACAATATTATTTATTAAAAATCATGGATGATTTTTCATACTAAGTTATGGCTATTTTTGTGAAAATATTTTAAATTATTATCTTCGTTGGGATAAAAATCTTGTTAAAAGTTTGTTTTCAGATGTGGAAGACATAGCCTCGAGTAGATGTTGTGTGCGTACAAGGGAGAAATATTAGCAAATAAAGTCTACACTTTTTATTTAGTTGTGATGTTCTGTACCAGACAATATTTATATTTTGGTTGTAGTATTTGTATTTTGTAAGGGTTATGTAATACCTTATTATATTGGTGTAATTGTTTGTACTTTGAAATTTTGGAGTAAAACAATTTCAGTAAGATTTATATTTGAAGTCTTTTGTATAATATACGTATAAAAATAAAAATCAAAATACGTAAGTATCTTTCCTTATATAATATTTGAAGGATGTTACACTTGCAAGGTATAGAGCTTTAATAAATAAAAAATTCCATGCTTACGAAAATATATTGGCATATAATGTTATATATGTATTTGTGATGTTAGATTGTTTCAAAATATTATGATGCTAATATTATTCATTTAAAATCATAGATGATTTTTCCATTTTAAGTTATGATAGAAAACAATACATTTCTGCTAAAGTCTTTCAAATTGTTATTTTTAATGAGATGAAAATTTCATTAGGTGTGTATGTTTCAGACGTGGAGATAGAACTAAAGTAGGGGTGATCGACCCTTTTGTCCCTAATTAAAAAAAATAGCACTTTGCTCTTGTACTGTAACATCCCACGTAATTAAGAAATATATATACATTATTATAAGGCATAAGCATGCATGATTGAAAATTCGAATCACATGGAATGTGTGTTTAATTTTGACTCCTATGGTTAGAAGTAGAGAAATTACTTGAATTATTAGAATATATGCGAATGTACCTTAGGCATGTGAAATACTAGTAAAGTATTTAAGCATGATAGAAAATCGATCTATAAAAAAATTAAAGATACTTAGGAGACGTGGAACTTTAGGATGTCTTAGAATAATCTTGGAGTGGTAATCCATTGGGCTTGTCATTTTAGTGTTATTGTTTCCTTCTCTTATGCTTGTGGGCCGAACATAAGGGCTGCAAAGAGGGTCTTAGTGCAGCCCAAAAATCTCATTGTGTATTATCTTGATAATATCCAAATAAACTCCATAAGTTAGTCTTTGATTGGTAGGTGATCACACATGGAAAGTTATCCTTATCTTCCCTCCACGTGTGCGCGTAGGTATAGGTAGTGTGAGCAGAAATTCTGATTTATATCATCTAAAAGTGGGCAGATTAGCCACTAAAATCCCTCCCTTCTACGCGCTTGGACTGCACCAAGGAAAAGGCTGAAGTTGCTTGTTGAACTTTCCAAAGGCAATCAGCCTTAAGGCAATGCAACCAATAGATAACAAGTAGCCAGCATTGCATGCAACCTTATTGGATAAACAATGTCATCCAGCCCTCACTTGTCACGCTACATAGGTAGGAAGGATGGAATTCTGATCTTACACTTTAACACTCTAACTCAATCAGATTTAAAACTATCCTTTGTGCCTTTTCATGCGCTAAGAAAATTAAAGGAGAGAAAAACAAAATTCTGGTCACATGTCCTTTCACCTTAAACTTGCATGCTCAACATGTGGCAAACACCATCTTCCATCAAGCCTTGCATGCGCATAGAGTGTATGAGAAGCAATCAGAACTTTGATTTAAAACCTCTAAGTCTTGCAACTTTTGGCCAGCCATGCAGCCAATGGAGTTAAAAAGGGAATCTAAATGAATCCTCTTTGTTCAGCCACCATTGCTCTATTTCTCATCACTCTTAAACACCCCCTCAATGCCGTAGACTATTAGAAAAAGGGAACCAACCAGAAATTGTATTATTTTCTCTTCTTCTCTAAACCGTGGAACCCTTAAGGAATCACCAAGTCTCAAATACAAATCCCTCATTCTCTTACTCGGCTATGCGTGGTAATTCCAAGAGGTAAAGTGTATCCCTGATTCACTACTTATTCTCTTGGTTGCTAAAAGACGTTCCATTATATGTGAAGGATGATTCGAGCTAACCTTCCCTCCCTTCGTTTTCTTGTACACGGTCATCAACTTGAAGAGTGGAGTTGTGGTGGAACTTAAGGGATTGAGTTGCTGCTCTTTTGATTCAAACCGGTTTTCCTTGTGTATTGTGAAGAGGTAGGCCCAAAATCCCCCTTCTTCTTCCCTTTGTTGAAACCGAGAAGCATGCTTAGGATATAGTCTTAGTTACTTTATGGATTCTGTCATGTTTTGCCCTTGGGTATTAGTTGAAAGCATGAAAGCTTAGAATTTATTTCAGAACTTGGTAATGATCTTAAAGTTAAATGATGGGGTTGTTGATGATGGCCTAGTGTTCCTTTAAAATTTTTGAAGCAAAATAATTTGGACAGCATGCCTAGGTCCCTTGTAGCGATCCTTGAATGAATTCGTGAGCTTTGGAAGAAATCATCCTTGATGCTTTGTTGAGATGAAACCGATTCTGTCTTGATAAAACTTGTTATAAACTAAGTTTTATTTAACTTATATATATACAGCATGTTGTTTAGTTTCCCTTCACATACTCCATGTGTTGTTAAGCCAAATATTTGAATAAACGTTATGAGCCTTGTATGATGAAACCCGTTCTGTTTTGGACCAGCCTTATTGTGTGCTAAACTCCATCTAGAATTATGTAGACAGCAGAATAATAAGCTCTTTTTTCGCATCTCTGAGTATAGAAATAGGAAATTGTATGAATAAAAATCTTGAGTAACTTCTATGTCAAAAATCGATTCTGCCATGCTTAGGAACCTTGAGAAACCCTCACTGTTAAACGTTGGGAAGACTGTTTTGAAAGTCAGAATATTTTAGGAAAATAACATTGTTGGCCGAATGGATACATGAACCTTTAGGTTTGGAGAATTGTTGGTAATTAATAGAGAAGGCTGAAACATATTCTAATTTTGTTGCAATGTATATTAGGTGCGCAAAAGCCGTAAATTTTGGATTATACGCTGCTGTCTGGTACATTTAATTGTGACGTACGAG